AGTAATGCTAGACAAATAGTATATAATTTCTTGAGCCACCAAAATCTCCCCTGCCCACCCCAACTATAATAATCACAAAAAAATTCACCAGAATACGTTTTTCCTAATTTAAAAAAAAATTTGTAATGATTTATTCTCATAGGGAAAATTTAACATTTGTTCATGTGAAATCTGTTTTCACTTACCTTTAATTATATTAAAAATTAGCCCACTGTCATCATATTGAACATTGTTTAGGAGTTTTAGCCAATGCCATAAGACAAGGAAAATAAAAAGGGAAAATACATTATTTACATGTACATATTGTATGAACATTTATCTTGAGGTGGGATTTATCTCCTAATAGCAAAAATCACAAAGGCAAAGACAGATTTAACCACCTGAATATTTTATATTTTCCTGTATTAAAATATATAAGTGCATTTTCTGAGAAAATCTAGAAACATTTGCTACTTTATAATAGACTAAGTGTTGGTATGTAGTATAATTCGGTAGGAAAAAGCATAGATTACCAAAAGATATTTTTTGGGGGGGATTTTTGGGATGGGCGTAACTAGGTTTATTTATTTTAACTGCGGTAGTGGGGATTGAACCTGTGACCTCATGCATGCTAAGCAGGCGCTCTACCCATGAGCTATACCCTCCCCAACAGAAGGTATTTTTTAAAAAAAGAATACTAATGGCTCATTAAACCAGTGAGTCTCAACAAGTAACCAAAGAAATGAAATATCAAATAATATATTTTTGGAGGGAAGAAAAACATAGTGTTTTCAAGATGAGAAAAAAGTTTTAATAAACAAAATTGAGTAAATTTTGGTAAGAATGTGACTAAAATTGCCCTTTGTACATTCTAGGATGATAAAATATTATTACTGTCCTGGAGTTCAGAAGTTTATTTCAAAAACCTTAAAAGTATACATGCTCTCTAACTCAACATTTCTTTCTTTCTTTCTTTTTTTTTTTTTTTTTTTTGGATTTTCTCTGAGAAAATAGATTGCCTAAAATGTCTTATCCACAGGGAAAGCTTGGGGTGGGGGAAATTATTTATCATCATGTTATTTATAGTAAAGGAAAATGATACACAATCTAAATGTCTGTGATTAAGGATTTAGATCACTTAAAATTATAAACTACATGTTATAGAATCCTGTGCTTCCATTAAGAAATGTTTTGTTGAATATTTAATGACATCAAATTGTTTATAATAAATGAAAAGTTTTATGGCTTCCAAATTGTATGTATTGTATGACTCTAATTCTTCTGTTTTTATCTGTGTTATTCTCTGAACATAAATTAGTATTTTGTAACCTGAAAAGATAGAATTATTTTCAGTAAATGCAACAATGATTTCTGTTAACCTCCTGAAAAAAAACAGTATATATTACTGTTAAGAGAGATCACTGTCTTAGAGATTGCTTTTTGAAGAGTTGAAAAGTTAGCTCCTTGAAAATAAAAGGGCACATTTTTGTTTTTATACAGATATTCCTGATCAAGTTATAAGAGTTTTCAAAGCAGATCAACAAAGTTGCTACATTATCATCAGTAAAGACACTACAGCTAAAGAAGTTGTTTGTCATGCTATTCATGAATTCGGTTTGACTGGTACATCTGACACATATTCTCTCTGTGAAGTTTCTGTTACTCCTGAAGGTGTCATAAAACAGAGAAGACTTCCAGACCAGTTCTCCAAATTAGCTGATAGAATTCAGCTCAATGGAAGGTGAATGTGCTTATTAATGAATGTATTATTGCTAGATGTATTTTCCAAGATTCCATGTTAAAACATATTTTAAGTAGAAACATCATGTTTTAGGGCCAGTAGTTCTCTCTAAAGTTAAGATAAGATTTCTTTTTTCAGTTTTCTTTGTCTCCATCATTATGTAAATGGAATCTGAGAGTGTTAGCACTCTTAAGTGCTACCCAAAATTGAGGGAGAAGGAAAGGAAGGATAGCTTGCTAAATATTTAGCCCTCCTGCTAATATAAAGTCCTAGAACCACTGGTGTAGTCCAGTCCCTGTTTTTTATAAAGGAGGAAACTAGATGATGCATATCTTTATATGTATCCGAGTATATATGTGCTAATTTATAAATTTGTTTTTTAAATGATCAGTATGTACATTGGTTAAAAGAAGCTAAAATTTTCACAATTCTTTTTCTAAGTTTTCCTTTTATGAATATACAGGAAATTTTTTTTTAAAAAATGTTTAAATGTGCTCTGAGAGTTATTTGATCAACCAGAAGATTGTTTCAGTAGTACATTTGTTCTTTACTCTGGTGATCTTTTCTGAGAATAATGCAATCTTTTTAGTGAGCCTAGATTCATATGTAGAATGAGATCCTTGGAAATCTTAAAATGATGATTCATCGTGGTTGCTATTAAGACAAAGTGGGTTAACTCTGCTTTGCTGGCTACATAGTGGTTCATAGCATGAACCCTGGAGCCAGATTGCCCAATTCAAATCCCAGTTCTGGCTATGTGACCTTGAGCAAGTTAGTTTCTCTGTGTCTGAATTTTCTCATCACAATGTGATGATAATAATGGAACTACCTTGTAGGAATGTTACGAGAATTAAATGAATTAAAAAACATAACATACCTTATAAATGTTAGATATAATTTTATTATCTGTAATTTCAACACTATTATTTATGGTAATCTCTTAGGCATGTGAACAGTATAAAGGTAGAAGAAAAAGAAGTATAGTTCCTTGACAATAAAAAAATAGATGGACACAAACTTAGGTGTATATCAAGTTGTACATTAGGAAAGGATGAAGTGAAAGCTGTGTGTAATACAATATGGGACCTCTCCTGTAGCAACAGCCCTGTATAAGATATTCCCCAACTATGAATTCTTTACTTAACCTGTTTCTTAGCTTTTAAGTGCTGTAAAATTGTGCATCTAAAACAGAGAAAGGAAAATTAAGATTTTTTTATGATTGCTGATTAGGACCATTTGCTGGAATGAGGTTTTGTATTCATCAAGGGAGAAATCATTAGTAGAAGAATTCCTATCCTTAATGGTTTTATTCTTCTTTGCTCCTCTTGAAAATTTAGAAGAAAGAAAGAAATGAGTGCAACAACAACTTCTGAATAGAAATGTAAACATTCTTGATTCAGGAGTTTATTCATGCTGTCCATGAACGAGTATTTATATAGTACCTTCTGTGTGTCAGGTATCCTCATAGAGCCCTTATAGAGTTTTTATTCTCAAGAATATACACATGATTGTTCACACATCATGTGAGTAGTTTATTAAAATAATTTAGTTCATGGCATAATCAACATTATTTTTACTCTTTAAAATAATAGATGGCAGAATAAGAGGACAGCTTCTTGAGAGTCTTCTCATTTAAAATGTTAATTTTCCATTTCATCTGTAAATGAATATTCTGCTAACATTTCTGGCCAAAAGTTATTAACAATATAATGATGTTTTGACAACAATAATAATGAAGGAAAGTGCTCATATAGATGTGAAATCACTAAAACCATTTTTTTCCTTTTAGGTATTATTTAAAAAACAACATGGAAACAGAAACCCTGTGTTCAGATGAAGATGCTCAAGAACTAGTTAAGGAAAGCCAACTGTCTATGCTGCAGCTCAGTACTATTGAGGTGGCCACTCAGCTTTCAATGAGGGACTTTGATTTATTTCGTAATATTGAGCCTACTGAATATATTGATGACCTTTTTAAGTTAGATTCCAAAACAGGAAATACTCACTTGAAAGAATTTGAGGACATTGTAAACCAAGAGACATTCTGGGTTGCCTCAGAGATTTTAACCGAATCAAATCAGCTCAAACGAATGAAGATTATTAAGCATTTTATTAAAATTGCACTTCATTGTCGAGAATGTAAGAACTTCAATTCCATGTTTGCAATAATAAGGTAAATTTGTACAATATTTGTGTATGATTTTATTGTGGTATTAGACATGAAGCTGATTTTCTGCTTAGGTATTAAATGGCTAGAAGAAGAAAAGTTAAGTCAATATGTTTTAATAAGTATTGTTAGATTTTAAATATTTTCCACTATAGTGATACTGGCTTTTTCTCTTTTTGCTTCTTCCATCTTTCTGTCACTTAAACTTTTTTTGGCAAGTATAGGTGATAGTCTTTCCAGTTTTTTTCCTTTCTCCCCCTCTGAGGGATTATTATACCCTCTTGGATGTAGGCCCAATAGCTGGTCATTATCATCTTTCAGTACCTGCCTTACTTTGATCTGACACTGAAAAATCACAGTGCGGTATCAGTGCTCTAACATACAATTGCTATTTTGAAACAACAACAAGAGCAACAGTAGTAATGGCAACCATTTGGTGACCTCTTTTTGTTTCCCACAGATCATGTGAGGTGTCACTGGATGTGTTGCCCCTCACACAGGCTGAGCCATTAGAATTATAAAAATCTTTCAAAGTTTATAACCCCAGGAATCGTGGATGGTTACATGGCTCCTGGGAATCTTCCTTCTCCCTACTTATTATGAGAAGCAGTTCTAAGTAATTTCTTTTCTGACCCTTATCCAGTGCAATGCTGACCAACAGAGAGATTCCACTTAAAGCAGGTCTGATTTTAAAGGTGGAGAGTAACTGTAGTTTGGTCCATTTATAAGGCCAAATGCTTATGTATGGCAGTGTAATAACCACCGTAACAAATCCCATCTATGCATGCTCTCCAAAAATTTAACTATGATTTGTTCCTAGTACTCACATGAGATAAAGTTAGAATCTTTACAGGGGCTTTTTAATTTAATCATAAGTCTGTCGTAGTAATAGGAAACTCCTTTACGAAATTAACCAGTTGGTGCAATAGAGCTAGACAGTGTAGAAGGAGTACTGAATAGAGATTAACAGAGTGACCTCTAGAATCAACTGCACCTGTATTTGAATTCGGCCTCTCCTGTGTAGTAGCAGTGTGTCAATGGAAAATTCAAGACCAGTTTCTCATCTATGAAATGCAAGAATTACATCACCTACCTCATAGTTTTTAAGAGCTGGTGCTCACTTTGGCAGCTCATATACTAAAATTGGAACGATATAGAGATGATTAGCATGGCTCATGCACAAGGATAACACGCAAATTCGTGAAGCTTTCCATATTTTTCAGATTTGTAGATATGGACAGGTATATATAGAATAAATAAACAAGTTTATACTGTACAGCAGAGGGAAATAATAATTCAAGATCTTGTAGCTCATGATGAAAAGAATATGAAAATGAATACATGTATATTCATGTGTGACTGAAAAAATGTGCTGTACACTGAAAATTGACACAACATTGTAAACTGACTATAACTCAACTAAAAAAAAAAGAGCTAGGTCTAAAACAGGAGAACAAAGATGCCGTTGATAAAAACTTAGAAGGTTAGAAATTGAAACTATTTGTATGTGAAGCACGGAGTAAAGAATTTGAAAGTTATAGGCTCAGTTTTGGAGTATTTGAGAAAGAAAAAAGATTGATGTCAAAAGAAATGTCTGTATAAAGTGTGTCCAAAGAAAATGGTAGAGGTGTAAAAGCCATACCTCAGTGACCATCCTCAGGGTGGAGATAAAAAAAGAGAGTCCAGCCAAAGAAATAAAGAATCAGTACAAGAAATAGTGGGACAGCACAGTCATGACCTTGTCATTAAAGCTAAGGAAGAGAATGATTTGAGAGAAAGTGATGGACAGCAACCCCAAGATGGGTGTAAGAAAGGCCTGGGATTTGGTTAAGGGGCTTTATTTTTGGTTAGGACAGTTCTGCTTTGTTTTTTTTTTTAATAAAGACTGTTTTATTATACACATTTTCAATAATTCAAGTAAAGTTAACCAACCTTTTATTGTATTTTGTATTAAAATACAGAACGTAAAGAACATATATTCAGCAGAGATGACACAGGTGAATCAGTCACTTATGGCTGGAATTGAATAGCATATTTTATTTATTTGAGTTCTCTTATTTTCTTAGTCTAGCCAAAGGTCTGTCAGTTTTGTTTATTATTTCAGAAAACCTGTTCTTATTTCATCAATCTTTTCTGTTGTTTTTTTCTGGCTTCTTATTTCATTTGTTTCTGCTTGAGTCTGTTATTTCCCAAAGGACTTAGTTTCTTCTTTTTCGAGTTATAGTTCCATGTGTAAAGTTAGGTAGTTTATTTGAGATCTTTGTTATCACTATAAACTCTGTCTTGAAACTGTTCTTGAAGCATCACACAGATATTAGTATGTTGTATATTTGTTTTCCTTTGTTTAGAGGTATTTTTAAATTTCTTTTGATTTCTTTGACCTGTGGTTATTCAGGGGTGTGTTTAATTTCAATATATTTGTAGACTTTTTTGTTTTTTCTTGTCAGTAACTAATTTCATACCATTGTGATCAGAAAAGATATTTGGTATGATTTCAGTCTCTTTAAATTTGCTGTGTGTTTTATGACTTACCATTTTACCCATCCTAGAGAATGTTCTGTGTATGCTTGAGAAGAATGTGCACTCTGCTGATGTTGGATACAGTGTGCTATATTTATCCATTAGATCTGTTGATCTAAAGTATGGTTCAAGTCCACATTTCCTTCTTGATTTTTTTTTTGTCTGAAATGAAACGAAATTCATTACTGAAAGTGAGGT